TTGGGATACTCACATGATATCACAAATTGGAGGCTGATTATATGACATTATTGAAGCATAATCAGTCCAATTGCCACTCAGCCACTGGGAATCAGCCAGGTTGGCACACAGCATTAACCATCATAGGAGATCCGGTCAGCCTGCACACTTGGACACGGGGTTTTCTACAGGTCAGCAGAGGGAGGGGGGCCTGCCTTCGGATGACAGATACCTGTGCCTGCACATGCACACCTGCACCTGTGCTCATCCCCAGGTGTGTTCAGCCCTCAGCCTTCCCCCAGAAGTTTCTAGATCCCAGGACATGACACAAAACCTGCCAATCAGATAGTTACTCCCTGCGCGGGCATGCACACGCCCACACACACACCACATTCCTTGGCATCTGTAGGGCGACTCACTAAGGGTTCTGAGTGGAGGGGCCCAGCCTGTCCCTCCCTGGGGGAACACCCCTGACTACTGTACAAGCAGGGAATGTGGAGTGAGCATTTCCCACCAGAGTCCTGACTTATTAGGGGTCCCACCCAGCAACTGGGGACATGGAAGAACCAGGCTTTGATCTAGGGCCCTGGGAACTGAAGTCAGTCACAGACATACACAAGGGCACACACACACATATCCTCTTACATGATCACATGTGCGTTCACAGGTGTATACTTCACATCTCTCCATAGATGCTCACCCATCTACCTGCTCACATATTGTGTTACTCTGGGTAGACTAGAGAAACAAATTCATAAGCACGCATATGTGCATAAGAGAGTTTAATATAAAGGGTAGTGTACATTAAGAAAGCATCCCAACCCAAACCAGTCTAAGCCCATAAGTCCAATATTAGCCCATCTGTCCAATACCAATCTATAAATTCCTCTTCAGACTCACGAAACACATGCAATGACGCCAAATGCAGGACGATCACAGGCCAGTGGGTGGAAAGCCTTTGGATCCAGTGGCGTTGTGAGTATCTCAGCGCTGGCAGGGTTTCTCCAGATCCCAGGGCACAGGGTCTGTCAGCGTAGTGCCATGTAGCTTGTCAGTAGAGAGTTTCCAAGGGAGTGAGCAGAGAGAGAGAGGTGTCTCCTGCCTCTCAGGAGAAAACCCA